TGTGGCTCTTTGAGGAGCCAAAATGAACATAGATGCTGGTGTTCTGACCAAGTTGTGACCAGATCTGTGCAGCTGAGGTGCTGTTGAGAATATTAATATTAGTTGAACTCTAGTATTCCATCCAGAATTGATTCTGTTGTTCTCCATTATTTAGAAAGAATCCTATGAACATGCAGCCATCGCCAGTGACACTGAGATTAAGATTGTGGCCAATTTGTTGTGTGTCTCAGCAGATTTCCTGCAAAGTGCTGTCACTCACCGTGTCACTGTGAGTACCTTTTTGGCAATTTCTCATACATCCTGAAGCATGGAATGCCCTACCCTAGTCCCTGTCAGCAGAAGAGCCACCACCTTAGAAGGTCCAAAATCTGGGAGGTAACAGCAGGAATAAAATGATTGCTGTACTGGATCAGTAATGGGGATGAGCTGAACCCTGCAAGACCGCTCTGTAAAGATGGCAGAACTCACATCTAGGAGGGCTCTTTTCTGACATGAGGTAGCTTTAGGCTTAACATTTTGGCCAGCTGACTCCCACCCTGAAATGTCGCAGCAGAATTTTGTTTTTACTTTTCCTTTGCTATCTGGGTAAATTCTCAGGCCAAATAGGAAAAAAAAAAAATTATTAGCCAGGATAATTTCCTTGTGGAATTAAAAAAAATATGTGTATTTGTGAGATAATAACAGTCAACCCAATCTCTTTATGTATCCAGGTGACATCTTATGATCGGATCTTCACCCCTCTGTCTGTAGAAGGAGCTATCGATGCCAGGTGACTTCTGCTGTTTTTGTCTGGGTTGGTGAGATGCACTCAAGGGTTCTGTCTTTGCAGTAACTAGTTTTACTCCCCTCTCCTACTCAGGGACTCCATTGCCAAGACTCTGTATTACCTGCTCTTTGAGTGGCTGCTGCTAAGAATCAATGAGTGGTTGGCTCCCTGGGAATCAGACTGTGCTGTGGGCATTGTGGACATACATGGTTTTGAGGTTGCTTTTTCTAGTCTTTTGATATCGTCTGGGCTGTAAGTGCATGTGCTGATTCTCCTCAGTTACTGGCAGAAATGGAATGATGTCTGATGGGTGGGGTTTGGTTTCTTCTTTGTGGTTTTTTGTTTTGTTTTGTTTTGGTTTTGGTTTGGTTTGGTGTGGTTTTTTTTTTTTTTTTTCCAGAAAGGAGACAGTAATTTTACCATGTAACATGGATGTCTGTGTTCAGGGGAGTACTTTTTTCCAATGGCAGTAAAGATGTCCTTATTTAGGGTGTGATTTAATACTTTTACTATAGACTCTTGTTATGAGTTGTTATCTGGAGGACCCTGTAGTCTTCCATGACTCTGTGGTATAGGTAGAATCCTAAGGTACATTGGACTAGATGAATTGCAAGTAGTAATGGTGTGAGTGGAGTCCTAACAATCGTAAGCAGTTAACAATCTAGTTCTGAATAGAGAGGTTTCTGGTGCTCCCACCACATCAGCCTTGCATGTTTGATACCTTTGCGTGAACTGACCAGTATCGTGCTGCATAGATAATGCACATCCCTGGCTTTGGTTCTGTCATTCTAAGGAAGAGGAAAATAATTTAGTTTTAAATCAGAAGAAACCCAGCACTTTCAGCCAACTTGCCTATTGAATTAGCTCATATGCTGTATTAAATACAGATCAAAACTGTCTTTTTAGCAAGTGCGATGGAGTTTAGAAACCAAGTAATATGTGATGTTGAAAGGACATGTGGGGATTTTAACTCCATGGTTTGATTCCCACCTAAAGAAGGTTTGACAAAACCCTCAGAAGTTTCTTAGAATGTTCACTTGTACATAGACTCCTGTAAGAAGCAGCTCAGAGTCCTTTCCCTTCAGCCTGTGTTCTGCTTCTCAGCAGTGGCTCAGGAAGCCAGATCGCTCATCAGCCTGTTTTAATGGACCAAACCCAGAAAAATACTTAGTATCAATTTGCTGTACTGATGAGGTGAGCTGAATGAGCTAATTATTAATGAATCGCATTTTAATTATTTCTGGTGATATTATTAACAGAAGTAAGAAAAATATTTTCAATGTTCTTTTAATCTAGCTGTTCCCATTTGTTCCTGAAGTCTTGGATAAAGCTGGATAAAGCTGGAAATATGTTAACACTATATTTTACAATTTATTTCTTTTCACATGCTTCAGCATATCCTGTTTTTCTGTTATTCTCAGCCTGAACAAGGACAAGTCGTGCTTGTCCTTGAGTTGTGGCTCAGGAATCATTACCCTTCCAGCAGGTATACACTCATGTCTGCCCCAGTGAGCTTCTGGGGGCTTCCCAGACTTGTGGTAAGTAAAAAAACAGGCAGAGCAGGGGCTTAAAGTGATATGTGCTCATCAAGGCCTGTGGGTTTTATACTTAGGATTCCTGTTAAAAATCTGTGTGTTCTGATGAACGCTGAAAACAATGGCACATACACAGGTGACGGTGTGCATCTAAGAGTAGATCTCTTTCTTTGTGCTCCTTCACAGCTTGTCTTGCTGCTTGCTGTTCAGCCTAGTCAATAAACCAGGCTGAGAGCTTGCAAAGGAGACATAAGATGATTTGAATTTCTCAGGTTCATTCACACTTACTGATCAGAACAAGCTGCCTGAGCCAGCAGCTCAGATCAGCACCATCTGGTGCTGTGCATTATTTGCATGAAGACACCGCCTGCTGGGAGGGCTGTGGGTTGGGAGCGATGCTGCCTTTTTGTCTTTGCAGGATCTAGGTGTGAACAGCTTAGAGCAACTCTGCATCAACTTTGCCAATGAGCATCTCCAGTGTTTTTTCATCCAGACTGTCATTGCCCAGGAAGAGGTAAATGGAACTGATGCCAGCAGGTGAAAGGCAGCACATGTGGAATGAGCTGAGGCAACCTCAGCTAGAGACTATCCTTTAGCAGGGAAGCGGGAAGCTGAATAGACCTGGCCCTCTTAAGCAGTACTTGTGGAACCCTAGTTCAAAGAGCTGGCTATTTAATATCTTTTACTAAGTCTGTAGTAAATTAAGGGAAGGGCAGATTTTTAGTGCCTTGCTCCCTTTTACAGATTTTATAAGTGAGTTGGTAAGGATCAAGGACCCCAGACCTCAGCTGGTACTTTTAAAGACTGACTGGAAGATTAATTGTAGAATTTTATGTATTCCTCATGTCCTGGAGATAAAAGTGTATTTATAAGACTTATTGCCTTTTACAGTTCACTTTATCACTCTGCTTAGCAGCCTTTCTCTCTTAAATTAGGAAAATTATAATTCTAGGCAAGTTCCTAGCAGCAGTGAAACACTAACTTCCTGATGAATAAACCAAATCCCTCTAACTTCCTCCATTTGTTCTTGTTTGCATGGCTGGATTTGACTGGTTGGTCTTTAACATGCAGGAGGAATATAGGCAAGAGCAGTTAGCTTGGATTCCTATTTCCAAGATGTACAATGAATCATGCCTAGATTTCATTGCTGCAAAACCACATGGAATCTTGTGTATCCTGGATGACCAGACTTCACTGATTCAGGTGAGAAGCTCTTATCCTCTTATGTGATTCCTTTCAAAGGGTGGTTATGGTGGGGCAGTTATACAGATTGGACAGGGACTGTGTTCACACAAGTACTAGATGTTTTTACCTTCAGTTTAGGAGCAGCTTTTCACCCTAATGAATTTGTTACAGCATCAGGAAACATGTTTGTCATTTCCTTTACAGGCCACTGACCACACTTTCCTCCAGAAGTGTCATTACCATCATGGAAACAGCCCTTGGTACACCAAGCCCAGATTGCCTTTGCCAGTTTTCACTGTGAAGCACTATGCAGGCCCTGTCACCTATCAGGTGAGCTGGCAGGGGGCTCTGAGCAGTTGGAGCAATAGGCCAGCTTGGAAGCCTGCTGTAGATGTCCTGATGGACCAACTCCGAGTGCTGCAAACAAAGCCCTCCCTTTGTAACTGCACATCCCTCTAGAGCATCAGCTTATCAGAAATTAGATGATTCCTATTAGGAGAGGCAACTAAGCTGCCTCTAGGCAGAAGCAAAATAGGTAATGGCCTCAGCTACACAACAGCCTACATTGCTTGTCTCAGAGCCCTGGAAATCCAGGAAAGCTGTTGCTGCTGAAAAAAAGCAAGGGGTCAAAACCTTCTGGCCAATGTGAAAGGGAAAAGGAGCAATCCCTCATAAAAGAAGTCTTTGCCCCCACCCCCACCTGATAGCAGTAACAACAGCAAGCTTCATTCTCTAGGTCTTTCCCCTTGTTCCACCTCCCAGCTGTCAGCTCCAATTCAAAGTGTGTGTAAGAGGGGTGTTTGCCTGTCTGGTTGGTGGTCTGAATGGTGCATTAAATCAGACTTTGCTGCTGCAGGTCCACAAGTTTCTTAATAAAAACCGTGACCAGCTGCGTCCAGAGGTGCTGGATATCTTCTCTCAGAGCCGCCTCAAGGTACTGTAGTGGTTCAGGATGAAGCTCTCTATTGCAGACACCTAATGAGCCACTCATTGCTTTCATGTGAGAAGCAGAAAGATCCTGGTCAGGTGTCAGGAGAACCTGGAGAAACAGAAGTTTTGTTCTACTGAAGGACTCTTGGGAATTGAGCAAGTCATTTATGCTCCTGATTGATGCATTTTATAAATGAAAAACACAGATTGCCTGAGGATGCAGTTGGGTTCCTGGCACTGCTAGGGACAAGGGAGAATGTTCCCCCAGTTTCAGGTAGAAGAGATTGTTCTTTCCATGTAGTTCAGAGAGCTTTTGTAATTTCTTTGTTTTTGCAGGTGGTGTCTTACATTTTCCAGAAGGCTAAAGCTGCCTATAGTCAGCAAAGAGAGCTTGGGGCCAGAGGCAAAGGGCTCAAGCCTCAGGCCTCCACACTGGTGTCCAAATTCCAGCAGTCTTTGCAGGACCTCACAGCCAAGCTGAGAAAGTGAGAGATACTGTTGTGGTGCCACCCCTGCCCTGGGATGATTGCTGCACCCAGAAGTGTGTGAAGTCTTCCTTGGTCAGCACAGAGAGTAGGATGATCAAAGATTCTTCCTTCTGTTTTGCAGGAGCCATGCCTTCTTCATTAGGTGCATCACCCCCAATCCCCAAAAGGTAGGGCAGCACCCTGAGCTCTTTATGGAGTCCCTCAGTTCCTTGAAGTCTAGTCCTCTCTAGCAGCTTTCCATTTGCAGTTGGAGTTTGGACTTCTTTGCTTCATTTGATAGCTTGATAACTTTTCTTCCCTTTTCTCTGTCTCTCACCCTTCCATGTGGTCATGTGCGCTGACCACGTGCTTGAAGATGAGACAACAGTGTCAGCTAGACACCAAAGGATGTGTTGGGTTTTGTGTACTGTTGCCCATAGACCATGGCAAGATCTAACCCAAGGACAGGACAATAGGAGGACAACCTTTCTGAACTCTCTGCCTTCTGTCTGCTTTCTTTTTTCTTTATTTATTTCTTGTTTTACATTTTTATTCTGCCTTATATTCACAGTTGTCAAACATCTTTGATGTGGAGTATGTCACTTGTCAGCTGCGACATTCTGGGATACTGGAGGCTATCCACATTAGAAAGGAGGGATACCCAGTCCGTCTTCCACTCCAGAAGTTCCTAGCCAGGTACAGTGGTGTACTTTCTTGGGATTCCCCAGCCACTCAAAGCCTGGATGAACTTGTCAGCACATTGTGATTTGTTCTCCTCTGAGGACTCCAGTTACAGCCCTGGCTTCTATCACATCAACATCTCATCTTCCAGGTATGGCCTCCTGGCTGGGCGAAGGCACAGTGGCTTGGAGGAGAGGGAAGGCTGTGCGGCAGTGCTGTCTCATGTGGTGGGGAACCCCTCAGATCTCTATCAGATTGGAGTAACAAAGGTGATGCCTATAGAGAATCCCATCTTAATCTCAAAGGCCCCACCAACTATTCACTAGCTGTCAATAGACAGAGCAGCTCGGCTGTCTGCCCAAAGAGGGAGAACATTGCATGCCTTCATCTCCCTTTTGCTTTGCTTCTTGTCTCAAGTATGAAGGAAGGATTTTTAGCATTTTGTATAAAGAAACAGGAGACCCTGGCTCCAGGCTGTTGTAGTAGCGTGGCCAACTCCTTTGTTTACCCAGCATTCCTTGATGGAGATCTGGGTTTCTGGCTTTCCTGCCTACTAACCTTCAACACTCCCTGATTCTCTGTCCTCCACAAATGTATCCATCTCTGTCACCTGCGCTTTCTGCCCTCCCCAATTAAGGGAGTGAAGTTTCTTTGGCAGGAAGACTGAAGAGCTACAAAGAAATAAACCAGCAGCTTTTATTACTGATCAACTCTTAGAGAAGCTGGCTGCTTTCCGTGTGGGTCAGCAGCTGTTTCCTTTGCCCAGGTCTTTCTAAAGGAGAAGGCCAGGCAGCTTCTGGAGAGACGATGGAACCAGAGGCAGAGTTGGGCAATTGTCACTCTGCAAAGGAACTTCCGACGTCTCCTTCGCCGCAGACGCCTCCGTGTCCTCCAGGAGAAAGTCACAATCATTCAGGCTCACTTCCGAGGTTACCAGGCAAGGTCAGGAGTCAAAGACCAGACAACCTACGGCCCTTTGTCCTTGCCTAGGACAGCAAGGTGGGGATATGCCTGGCCAGGCCCCTCCTCATGTTGGCTCCTGGATGGCTCTGCAGGGGGTATCCTGTTACTGGAATGGTGGAGGAGGGACTTCCCAGACTGTTTCCCAAGACTGAGCGGAGGTTCCAGGGGAAATACAGCTGCTGGCAAAACTGTTACAGTAACTTGTCTGTGCTAACGCTGATATTGTGATAGCTAGAGTATAGGATGTAGGGATAATATCTAAGAGAGGACCAGGCTTAACACAGGAAAACCAAATCTGGATTGACTGACTGTATTAATGTTCTGTTTGGCCCATACCATTCCATTCAAATGGAATCCACAGTCTGCCTAAATTTTGTTGATGTTTGCCTTACTATCAATTCTTCCCTTTTCACATCCCTCTAGGAAACGTTACAGGAGGCTGAAGAAGACTTTGATGCAATTTAATACCATGATTTTAATCTCCAGGCAGTTGATTCAAAGGAGGAAACACTGCCAGGTAACAACACTCTTCTCAGAACCAGGTGTACCACTGCTAGAGCTATACTACTTAGAGCTATTTCTGCTCTAAGCAGAGAGAGCTGGTGACTGGGTAAGGCCAGGGAAGGGATGGCTTCAGAAGGTTTATTGGAAATGATCCAATTAGGTGTCCTTCACTCTCTGACTGACATAAACGTACTCAGAAGAACGAACCACAGAGACTGGAGCCTTCCCTCCCTAGATGAAGTTCAGAATTGGCATAGGTGGTACAAATGCAGCCAATTCGTATGTCTGTATGTGAGCTTTTCCAGGTTGCTCCACATAAGACATGAGCTTATTTCATCTGTGGCCTCCAGACCTGCTGTCACATTCAAGCTCTAAGGAGTCATTCACGTTGCTCTTTAAGCTGTCCAGTTCAATTTCTGGTGTTTTCCCAGATGCTGACTGTCCACAGTATTTCAGTCCACAGTGATCCTTCCCTGACCCCTTACACCTACCTCTGGCTGTGAAAGTCCCTGGCCTTTTGGAAATAAGCTGGACCCATAGCTGGGGTGAGAACAGGATGGCAGTGATCTGAGAAGATGGAAAATTGTGTGCAGGAGAGCACCATAGTTCTGTCAAATGGGTTGTATATATTTTGCACAAGCTATTGAAAAGAAAATTGAAAACAGGAAATCAGACCATTCATCCTTAGAGTAGTAACTAACATCCCCATAGCTGGGATGAGTTCACGAGGGAGGGACCCAGTGCAGCTGCTGGCATGACTAGCAAAGGATGGGGCAGAGGGTTAAGGTCAGTGGTGGTGTTGGAAGACTGCAGAGGTTCATTCTGCCATGCCATGCCCAGAGCAGTGTTTCTGTTCCCTTTCCTGCCCCTTCCTACTTGGACATGATCCAGGTTTCCTTTCTCCCAGGTAACCACAACAGCACAGCTCTTTTGAATCTGTTTCTATTCATCCAGTGTTTGCTTGTTGAGGTCTCTGTACATGCAGCAGCAATAATAAAGGTCTCAAAGTTCACCTGCTGCAAAGTTCCTCCTTTCCCCCCACCCCACAGCCCTGCCCTTTGGACTTCAGCATGCCTACTGTCTTTCTCAGCCCAACCCTCAAAACCTCCCATCTAGTCACACCATTCTGCAACATAGACAAGCTGGAGAGAGAGAGGGAGAGACAGAGACCCTCCTTTGCCATCTTGGGGGAAAGACAGAGACCCTTCTTTTCTATCTCGGAGTAAGAGTCAGGTGAGTGAGGAGTCCAGGAACAATAGAATGGATGGGAAAGGTCAGAGGTGCAAGGGACTGTGGCTTTTGGTATCCCTCCCACCCGCTCTAAAGGGGTCTCTTTCCATGGACATGTTGGTCCATCCATTTTCAGGCTGTGTTATTGTATTTTTTGATGCTGGAGGAGGCAGGTGAATGTTTCTGACAGCTGCTGTGTGCTTTTGTCCTGAAACACATCAAATGCTAGGTGAGGGAGGCAAGGTGTGTCAAGGATGCTGGGCAAGTGGTGAAGGCTCTTGCTGTCGAATTGTGTTGTGCAGGGCAGGTAGTGTTTCAGCAAAACTCAGGGCTTTGCCTGGGTATCCCCTTCTCAATACACTGTGTTGAGTCCCAGGAAGGCTCTACAGCTGCTCTGTTATTTTATCTGCTGGAGCAGGACACCAGCTCCTGCCCATCTGCAGTCTGCCCCTAGAAGTAGATGGAAGTGATCTCATATACATCTTTTCCCATTCCCTATCCCCCTTTCATCTCCTAACAGCAGGAGTTAGAGGAAAGGAAACCAAGGAGGAGGTCCCTGGCCAGTGGTGACACAGAGAGCAGTCCCAACCAAGGAATGGTAAGTTGTCAAACAGTCTGGGAAAGTCTGAGATAAAAGAAGCCAGGCTCTCAGGGTGTTCTCCCTCCTCCATGTCTCCTCAGCCCAGGTTTGCTGGGGAACAGCAAAACGTCTGGACAGTGTACAGAGCCCACGTATCTGCAGGAAACCTAGCAGCAAGAATGTAGTTTGGCTTGCTATAGAGTCTTCTAATACATAACTATCTCATTAGTTCATTGTTTCCCAATCTCTGGGCATAGTCAGGCATCATAAAGTAGTCCAGAGGCACAGTACAATATCCAGTTCACAGCACTGGACCTGTTCTTTGGAGCTGGGAGGAAGGATATTTTTGATAACAAAGTTCTGTTGGGAAGGGTGGGAATGAGACAGTTCTGCACAAATATATTTATGGAAGATATTGTAGGGTAAGGGAGGTAAAAAAGGCTTTATAACAAGTTTAACATGTATCAACTACTATAAATAACACTGCTAACTAATGTCATTATTTATATGTTTAGACCAGGCATACATTTGCTATGATGTGTGTGGCAAGGAAATCCGAATTGACATAATTCACAATTTTGTACAGATACATCAGCAGTAAGGGGTATATTTAGCACTGGGTGCTCTTGCAATATCACCTGTTTCCTCGGGTGTGGATCCAGGACTGTGGAATGTCACAGTCTATTTCCTGAACACACCATTGAAAAATTAGACTTAAAGTCGAGTACCTTCTTATGAGCAAAACCAAACTGATCAAAAAAGCTGTGAATCTATCTTTAAGCAGTGTTGAGAGTTTATGTAGAGAGAGATGACAGAATAGCATGCTGGTGAGTAGAGGCTTTACTGTGCAGATCTTAAAAAAACAAATAGAAAACCCAAAAGCTCAGGCTTTGTGGCTTTGGTTTGGTTTCATAGTGTCTAAATCTGAGTAGTCTTGTCTGAAATGCCCTGAACTGATGTTATATGCAGGTATTGATGCTGATACACTGTGTTGCACTGGCTCATTTACTTCCTACCTTGCACAAATACATGTATCATGCAAGGTGTAAAACAGTGAAAAATCAAGGCTCTTTGGCCAGATTCTCATCTGAATTTCCCAGGTGCAGATCTGAGCTTTCTTAGGAACCTCCAAAATAGTGGCATGCACCAAAGATCAGAATCAGGTCTCTATGCTGTAGCACTCCTGGATACTGAAAAACAAAAATAAAAATGGCAGAAAAAGGAGCAGGAGAAAATGGCCCTTACCCTTCTACTGTAGTCTCTTCTGTACAATATGCCAAACTTGTCAGTAATGAGAGATGAGTCAAAGAAAGTCAACTTTCCTGTCACTTCCCCTTGTGGCAGTTGATATTTTAAGGAATTACTCACCTTTCTCTCCTTTGCTGACCCATGTCATATACCTGTATTAATATGATATTTTCCAATTTGTAATGTTTCCAAATGTTGCACAGACAGAAATTACTGGTTTTGCTCAGATGCTCAGTCCTTGTTCTGGCCAGCTTTTCAAATGCAGCTTTACACAGTCTCAACAAACAGCTCAGGATTTATATGTTGTTTCACTGCTGGTAGTGCAGTGACTGACTTGCTCACTCTCTCCACAGGATGTGGGACTGCTGGAGATCCCTGCAGAGCTTGCTGCCCTCCTGCAGTTAGCTGAAGGTGAGAAATCCTCCCTCCTTCCCTCTTTCCTGCATGGTTTTACTTTACTGTTTATTTCCTTGTTTTCTAGCAGTTTAAGTACGTGCTTGTTCTACCTGCTGTCTATCACCTGGATTGTATTTGATTTATGATTACTGCAGTGTAAATATTATAAAGGCAAATGGTGTCATGTGTATTGTTTCCCAACACAACAGGGCAGAAAAGTGACTCAGGCCAGTGAGCAGAACACTAGACTAAAATTCAGTATCTTTGCTACCTTTTCAGCTCTTGTGAATGCAGATAGAACTGATGAGAGTAATGGTGAAAAGCTTTTGGTCAAAGCTATGTGACAACAAACTGTTTCATGAACCCAGGTCTCTTGCAGAGCTGGATATCTGAGGTGTGAGAACTTAAATCCGTCTTTTTTGATACTCAACAATCCTTAAGGAAATCAAAGGTGAAGAAGTCAAAACTACAATTTTGGCACTTTCAATGAAATATTTTGGGATGTTCATTAAAAATTACTTGTTCAAAAGTAATTACTTATTTTAAAATAGACGTAGGTAGAAACAATGTAACAACTTCCGGATGTAACAGTATAACACTTAAGGGAAACGTTTGCTTGGGATGGAAAGTTATTTGTTTTGTTTTCAAATCACCAAAATACCACTAACTGAAACAATTTCCCAAGTCGTTGACCTGACCTTGAGCTTTAAGTCATTTTCAGTTTTGTTTCCTCTGTAACTCTGTACAATATATACATTTAAGTTGAAATAGGTTGAGGCAGGATTTGCCTCTTTATGGTGGTATAGCATCTAACAAAATGAAAGATTTACCTTTGGCCTTCTGTATAGTACAGTAAAAGATACAATCAGGCAGAAGAGTCGTGAATTGGAGCATACTGTGCTGGATTTCCAAATACCTCACACTTCATGGCATACCCCTCTAGAGACTATCAGCTGGTCTAGTGAGCAATGCTACCTAGAAGAGCTCAGGAGTGAAACTGCTGAAAATGAAAGCTGATGGGATGTAAACAGGGAGGAGGAGAACATCAGGACAGACATTGGTTTGGAGATATAGGAATGCACAGAAGCTATGCTGCATTGAGAAATCTCTTCATTTAGGAAAATGTTTGCTCCTCTATTATCCATGATAAATCCCTCATCCAGTGCCTCATCATGAAGACCTCTCATTTACTTGTTAAGTGAACAATTGTCAGCAGTATCTCTGCATAGGCTCAGTGTTTCCTGCTTTGTGAACTCTGCATAACAGGATTGAAACTCCAGGTGCTGACTGCCCTCTGGGTGTTACCCAGGGATGAGTCTGAAAGATCAGAGCTGTAAAAGTTCTATCCTGAAGTTGGGCCTTGTGATCTCAAGGAGGTGAGGATGTGCCTGCTTGGGGTTGTAGGGCAATGGGTGTGGACTGGGTGGTCCTGGAGCCAGGGGGCTGGTACAGGTGCTCAGGCAAAGTTAGATGCATGTTAGCCCCGTGTTGCACTGTGAGACAGATGTGTTCTGGCTGCCTTTCTAACTGCTACAAGACCTATTTCTCTTGCAGGTCAATATAGAGCACAGGCCAACCAGATAACTGAGGCATTGCCTCCAGAAGTCAAGGTCAAAGATGACCTTTCCCTCCCACCCACCATCAACAGCTATCCTTTCTCATCCTTCATTAAGTCACACTTCCAGGTGGGAACTCTTTTTATATCTCTTTATTGCTTCCCCACCGGGGAGACACTAGTTTAGTAATACCAGGAACAAATTCTATGTTTCTGTCCTTTTGTTTCTTTGTAGAAGACAGATTTCCCTGTCCCTGGTCAGCCTCTGCAGCATCCCTTAACCCATCTGGATGCTGAATACCAGGAGAGTGTGCTTGAGATCAACAAACTGGTAAGAGAGTCATCTTTCTTGATGAGGGCTTTATTGAAGAACACATGGGCATAAGGCAAAGTTTTGATGCCTTTATAACAACAAGATGCTGGTGGTGGCTACTGTTCTTACAATACATGGTGTGTTAGGAAAGCAGAATAAATTGCTCCTTCTGAGCACTGGAGCAGTGTGGCAGAGATCACATCTAGCCCCTCAGGGTTGCTGTGTTCTTGGTGAGGCATAGACCAGCCATAGACCAATGGGATCAAAGTGAATCGCCTGGTGATGTAGCCTCCAAATTTGGCAGGACATATAGGAATTAGGCTGCTAAGCCTTAGTTTCCTAACATTCCAGATTCAGTAGCAATGGCAGTAAAAGGGAGAGCTGTCTTCGAAAGCACTTATTCTTATCTGTCCATCATAAAAAAGTTTAATTTAACATAGATTTTTTCCATTGTGTGGTTTATAGTAAATATATTGATTGTATCTCAGGCATACAGTTGCGCCAGTACACAACAGGGGACAGTGAACTGTTGTATAAAGGCTCGAAAAAGGCAGGGACTTTGTCATCAAGAAAACTCATCTGGAACCACACCCTAATTCTGTAGTATTTGCATGAGGGGGATGGTGTTATTTCATCTCTGTGGATGTGAAACACGCATTTCTTCTCAAAAATGGTAATGTTGACTCACTGGAAATAGAATGAAACTTCAGATAATTTCTAAGTAAATCTGGTAATTCTTTTGAGAATTACATGCAATTAAAAAAAGCCTATTAGGAAAGGTAATACCTAAAACCAGTTGTTTTGTCCTAATGGTCCCAATTATAGAAGAGCATAAGCTTCAGAATAATCTTGTGAATAGGATCATGCTTAAGCAGACTACTATTATTTTTCCTGAAGATCAAAGATAGTATTTCTCCATTGCTAATCTTAAAAACAAAACAAAACAAGCAATTTCTTTGGCAAAGGCTGTAACACATAGGGATTTACTACAAAAAATTCTATGAGAACTAAACATCTCCTTTTTTTCTCAGTAAATCTCTGACATACTTACTGCCATTAACCATTTTAAGAAGTGTTCTCTGAGAAGAAATAGGCCATCACTCATAAATGTTCTTTCCAAAGCTGTCCATGGCACATTTTAGAAAAATTTCAATCTAATGACATATTGAAGTATAGAGGCTGAAAGAAATTATTTTATACAAAAGAGTGAGAAATACAAACTGCAAATGCATCCAAGATGTTGATATGCATAGGCAAGAAGCTGAATCATTGCTAAAGTGAGTGGGTTGAGATACCACATCTCATACTACTTGGTATAATATTAACTACAGCAAAGCCTTTTGAACGTTCTGTTGTCAGACAGTGTTTCTTCATGTCTGACACTCTGAGCTTTTCACAAAGATCAGCTAAGCATCAATTCCTTTTACATATTTTTATGGCTAGGTAGCTTGTGGGCTCAGAAACAATAACAAATAGCCCATGGTAACTTGCTTATATATCTGAGCTCTGCACAAAGGGGAAATATTTTGCCCAAGAACAAGTTCTGAGTCAGAGGCATAACTAAGAAGAGACTGAGGTTGTCCTGACTTTTAGTCATGGTCCAGTCTCTCTGAACACTGACTCTCAAATTCCCCAGAACTTAGGTGGTACACAAAACCTGAGAATAGATCCTGATCTGAGTGTTTGCTGCTCTTCTTAGCCTCACAAACACCCTGGTATCTACAACCCAGGTTGTCATCTTACAGCACAGTTTGGAACAGAGGGTTAGAGCTACAGCGCTCTCTTTTTTTTTTTTTTTTTTTTTTTCCCCTGGATGCTTCTAGATTTTGCGATTCATTGGTGACAAGAATCTTCATGGCTGGCAGGAGGTACTTCTGGGCAACTACATTGCTGGGAGAGGTTTGAATAACGTGGCTCTGCGCAATGAAATCTTCAGTCAGGTGGTTGCCCAGACATGGAAAAACCCTGACATGGAGCACAGCCAGAGAGCTTGGGTCCTGATGGCAACTTTGCTGAGCTGCTTTGCCCCTTCACCAGCACTGGAGAAGCCATTGCTGAAGTAAGGAGGAGAAAAGACCTAGCTACACTTTCATTAATGTAAAGAGAGATGAGCAGTGTCCTAAATGCAGTTGCCTTTTCCTAGATTTGTGTCAGATCATGGCATGGAGGGCTACAATGCTGTTTGCCAGCGCAAGATCTTGACAGCAGCACAGTACACCGAGATAGACTCTACATGCTCTCGGGCCTACCCTCCCACTCAGCTGGAGTGGACTGCAAACCAGAGGAGAGGGAGGATGGTGCTGGATGTTTATACCTTTAATGGTAATTCATGCTTCTGCCCTTCTACTATCTTCTAGTCTTCTAGCGTGTAAGACTTTCCAGCTGGGCTCTGCCTGTGTCCTGCAGAGCTTAGCTGTTGCTTTGGGTCCTGCTATGGAGGCTGTGTGTACTGAATTTCTTTTCTGTGCTAGAGGAGAAGTTCTCAGCTGAGGTGGAGTCCTGGATGACTGGGGAGCAGTATGCAGGCTGGCTCCTGAGTGCAAGGTACTGCCAGAGGATGGGAGGAGAAGATCTGAGGGTGTGAAAGAGGCTGTCACTAGTTCTAAGGTTCAGACTGGTTGGGGCTGCAGGCTAGAATTTACATGGTCAGATGTGGAATTCCTTCCCCACCCCAGCTTGTGCTCTCTCCTTCATCCTTTCATCTGTGTGCATAAACTGCAGGCCTCTTTAGGAACAGAGGAATCACTGGTGTTATCTGTCAGAGCAGCTTCAGAGAAAAGATGAAAAAAATTCATCAAATCTTGAGTGATTTTTGTTTTTTTCCTGACCCTGGGCACTTAATTGTTGATTCACACCCTATATCTTAAGGACTTAAGCCAGGATAGACAAGGCAAGAAGAAACTAAATGCAATGTTTTCCTTTCTCTCCCTTTCCTCTGCCTACCTGGACACCTTTTCTCTCCCTCCTTTCCCTTTTACCAGGGGCTGCGATAAGAAGCCTCGAGGGTGGTCTATCTCCATGTTTACTGGCAACACATGGCAGGACCTGCTGGGCTGTGACTTTGTGCTGGACCTCATTGGAGAGATGGAGGAGGCCGGCAACCTCAGCAGCCCCTCTCAGTCCTCAGCTGAGTACCCCATCACTCCTGAAAGGGACAGAAGCTTCCTCCAGAACTTTGACCTGGATTCGTAAGTCATCTAATCCTTCTGTCCCACCACTTGTTGCCCTGTCACCCAGTGGCTCAGCTTTCTCTCAGCACTCTGCACTGTCCTCAACTCATTTTCATCTTCAACAGGATCCCTCCTGCTCCAGGCATCCGGGCCCCCACCTTCCCACCACCTAGTCTGCCTCCAGAATTCAACAATCTCCATCCAGGTAAGCTCTTGCCTAGCACTGTGGATGGTACTGGGAAGAGTCAGATGGGCCCCAGTCAGGCAATGAGAGCAGAGGAGAAGACAGGTGATTCTTCTTGATGTAGAGCAAGGAAGGGCTCCACTCCAAAACATGACTGTCTAATAGGGACTGGAAGCAGGGGAATGTTCCTTACCTGCCTTGTCACCAGACTTCTCCCTGCTCTTAGATCCAAGATTCAGCGATGACCTGAGGACCCCCATAGGCTTGGATCACTATGTGGATGATCTCTTCAGTCCTGTGCTGCACCAAGGCTCCAGAATATCAGTAAGTCCCTTGATGTTCCCTCTTACTTCCTCTCTGTAGCTCTCCTGTCCTTGTGACTCCCTCAGGTATGCCTCTGCCTATTCACTCTGCCTCCACTCAGCTCAGATATACCTTTGGAAGGCTCTTCCTCTTGGAAGTCTCTCTCTCTGAGCTCAGATAACTCTGTTGTTTCTTGATGCAGGATATGGAGAATAGGGAGATTCTGACTGGACACATGAAAGGAGGTGGGAAGATTGGACCCACACAGAGAGGAATCTTTCCTTCTACAGGTCTGTAAGGGGATGAGGACAGCTGGGAACACCTGTGGGGCTACATAAGCTTCAGTGAGCACAAGTCAGGGAGTCTCTTAAATGCTGATTAGTGCATGGGCTCAGCTGATTCATGAAGAGCATTGGTCTTTAACATAGGTCATTAAAAATTGAACTACTCACTCCCAGGTGCTGGGAGACAGATGCTTTGGGGAAGGTGCTTGGTAAGGGTACCACCTTTGTTCTGCTTGTCCTGCTTTTAATTTCTCTCTCGAGTTGGTCTTGGGGTCAAGGCAACAGGTAGCTTGCTTCTGACCCAGGCCACCTCTTCCCTAGGCCAATACTTGTAAGTCCTATGTTCACCTTCTATTCACCTTATGCTTTCACAAAATAGTTACTGCCTTTATCAGGGGAGGGTTTTAATCTTTCTTATTGCTTCCTTACAGACTTTTCCATCATCTCTAGCTATTCCCTGGGTTAGTAAGTCTGAACCCTGCAGAGGTTCTGGTTTATGTGTTTGGTTTCTTTACTTTTCCTCATTTCTATGGACCTAAGACTCAGGCATTTTCAGGGTGGAGTCAAACATCCATCTACTAATGGCACTGAGAAATATGCCTGTGTAGGAACAAGTTTGTCACTCCTAGCTACTTAGATGAGTGAGGAATGTGAAGATCTCCCCATGGCATCCCTGGGCTACCCTCACTGGCAAGGAGGATGTCATGATTCAGTAGACCTGTGCTGTGTGCTGACTCACTCCAAGCTGAGACTGATCTCCATGCCCCTTGCTCTACTGGCTTTGCCCTCAGTGGAATTTCTGTTTTGTGGCCTCATGTGGGACCTGACTGCTGAGAGCAGAGGAATTCCTTTCTCCCCACAGTTCCTTCACATATTACACAATGCCACCCAGGCCAGGGCTCATTGTTCATTCACCCTTGCTACCCGCTGCAGAGACAGATATGGATGTGGCAGTCTCAGAGATCTTTGCCTATCCCACAAGAGAAACTCTTCTCTGTAATCATACACAGGCAGGAGTCATATGCTTCGTCATGAAGGATGGTGGTGTCCTAAGCTAGACTGCAGAAGCAGTGTCTGGATACTGCTATTGTAAAGTCTGGCAGGCCACATATTTCTCTGGTTTCCCTTTTCCACCTGAGTTTTGCTGTGTCATGCTGTGTGTGAAGAGGTAAACCATTTGCATGTCTCTGTGGTTGGTGCATGTGAAGAGAACCAGAGGTATCCAGCCTATGCGATGTGCTCTGAGAGACTGATCAGGGCTTGCACATCTGCGATTCCCCGAAAGCACTGCATGTGTGGTCTTTTGCCTTTAGGCTTCTCTGGAATGACTCAAGCACCAGTTTACCAGCCCATGCCTTCGATGATGGGGATGCCAGCAGCCATGCCTGTGATGCCAGCAGCTGGTGGGATTGCACCTGTGCCAGGTAATAATACAGCATTTCAATAACTATACAGGGGAAGAGGATGGAAGGGTGGGTGTCATAATAGAGCCGGTGCATTTGAATCTCAGTCAGGGTGCACAGTGAACACTCAGCTCTGAGCTGATGCTCAGGGACTGTGGGGAACAGTTGCCTGGGGGCTTTTGCAGATACCTGTGTCTTCCACAGCCATGGTTATGCCCCAGCCTGTGGTTCCAGCTGTAGATCCCAATCAGTTAGCAGCACAACAGCAAGCCTTTATCAACCAGCAAGCCATGCTAATGGTGAGTGGAAGGGACTGACTGGGAGGGGCCCAGGAACTGGGGAAGAACAATACACTCGTGTATGTTCTGTGAAGGGGTTAGTCATGCTCCCCTCCTGCCTTAGGCCTGCTCTGTAACACTGTGCTTATGTGCTTGGTTATCTATATAAAGTGGGATTATTTAAGACTGCAAACCTGGGAACCCCCTTTTTGCTCCTTTGTGTACATGGGGACACTGAAGCACCATAGGTGAGTGAGCAGCAGGGACAAGAGCAGGCCCCAAGAGGCTATAATTCCCGTGTGTTTTTAAGCTGGGATTTGCTACAGGTGCAGATCTGATGTTCTGATTTCTGTACAAAGCCTTGTGAGTGCATGGATGTCCCAGGCTATCTCACTGGTAGCTGAGTTTTTGGTGTGTTGTTAGGAGTTCTGCATACTTGGCTAGGTGGGAGCAGACTCCCTGGGCATGTCTTGTCCATAACACTGGGAAATTTGCAGTGGACCATGTAGATGTTCTGTGATTACCAGTGAAAGAATGGGGCAGTCTGGCTGATGACTGGTGGTTTTGTGTAACCTAGAGATCATGGACATTGCAATTCCTTCCTCCAGGCCCAGCAGATGACCCTTCAAGCCATGAGCATTTCCCAGCAGCAGCGGCAACAGTCTCTTGAGAACTCAAGGCCAAGAGTCTCAAGTCCACCACAAGCCCAAGCCCCAGTTCCAGCCTCGATTCCAATCCCAGCCACTTCCCCCAAACCCAAGATGCATCCCAGCAACCAGAATGCTGCACCACCAGCAAAGGCTCCAGAACCGCCAGCTAAGGCAGAAGAAGCGGTATGAGAAACACACAGTGGTGGTGAAGTTGGTTTGGATTTAATGATTTGTGTTTGCTCTGCTTCCCTCCCACTGGCAGTGGTTTGGCAGAGTGGAGAGCAGAGAGCTATGCTTACCTATGATACTGAGGCCCTTCAAACTCTGCTTGCTGAGTCTTTAAGACACAAGATCCAATCTTGGTGGCATTGGCTCTGTGGAGGTTTGGTGGCAGTGTTGGCCAATTGATTCCCAGCTGATCTGAATTATTCCATGGAAAAGTTCATCACTCAGAGTTCTTTATCTTCCAGCAAGCTGTCTCGGGCCTTTATCATACTCCTCATTCTCTGGACTTGGTTTGATGATTCATTGGATCAGAGACTGATCTCTTGGGACCCTCCCAGATGGGGAGAAGTTCTAAATGAGAAATTGGCAAAGGAAGGTTACCTCTGAACTTAAGGGCACTATGGAGGTACCTGCTGGCTAGTGCTCACTAACCATGTTGTGAACTCCTTGCAGGTTGATGACTACACGGAAGACCAGTTCTCCAACAGTGATGATGATGACTATCCTAGGGAAACTTTCCAGCAGAAGAGAGAATATTTTCAGAAGATGGGTGAGTATCTACCACCTTGGGAATTTCACTCATCATAACACCCTTTTCTGCAGCCTCCCTGACATAACAACATGTTCTTGTCTCCCTGTCTGGAACCCAACTAAACCCAGCAGGAGCTGCTGGTGCTGTGCATAGCAGGAATTTTGGGTGCGTGCTCAGCTGACTACAATTCAGATTGTGAGGTGTTATGTTGCCAGTTTTCTAGAGATCTTTGGTCTTGTGACTGTTACACCCTCCTTTGCCTCTGGAAAGCATAAGCTTCTGCTGAGTGATGCAAGTGTGGGAACTATACCATTAATACTAGGTTTTGGCTGTGGGTTTAACTAGCTCAGGTACCCCTTTCTGTGCAGGAGAGCAACAGATCAGAGTGAAGCAAGTCAGGCCTCCTTCCAAAACCTGGACCCCTCCAGCAAATCCTCAGCCAAAGCAGGAGGAGGAGAAGGAAGAGAAGCAGGAGAAAAGTAAAGGAGAGAAGCCTAGCCCTAACACAGAGACAGGTAAGATGTTGTGCAGTGAAGACTCAGGCAGGCTGACAAGCAGGAACTTTCTAGGAGCATCAGGCCAGGATATAGTCAGAGAAGGAAAGGATCTGGCTCTTCTGGGAGTCTTCATCTTGACAGGAGAGGAGAGGAGAGAGAGAAGGGCCTGAGCTTTGGGAAGTGGGATCCTAAAGCAAAGCAGTGGAAGACCAGGGCCAGTCAGCCTAGGGGTGAAAGACAGGGAGTTTCAGATGAGATAAAGGGATTTCTCCTGTGTCTTTGCTGGTCTGTTGGTTAAAGCTGTCATCCCAAATAGCTCCTGCTCCCCCTTTGCCACCTCCTGAGCCAAAGCCAAAAAAGCAGACACCAAAAGCAAAGAAGGATCCACCTGTAGTGAAGCCTTCAGGCCCTGAGTCACGGCCTGCACCCAGCCGGGAGATCCGCAACATCATCAAAATGTACCAGAGCCGGCCAGCCCCTGAGCCCCAGCCTATCGAGCCTGTCAGGTGAGAGGGTGGGATCCACCCCGGTGGGCAGGAAGGAGATGAGTGGGGCTATATATCCCAGCACTGCCACATGGCTCCATTGTGGCCACAACTCCTCTGCAGCCCCTCTAACTGCATTCTCTATTTCCTTGCAGAAGAGTATCCAAGCCATTTATGAAGAAGAATGATCCCAAAAATGAGGCTCTGGCCAAGCTGGGAATGATGAACCTCTCATCTCCCAAATCAGTGAGTTCTTTGCTCTCCAGTCACCTTAAGAGCTCAGGAGAGAGGGCCTGTATACCCAGTCTCCAACAGGTTGGGATCTACCTGGTAGTGCAGTAGCATCCAGGTGATTTCTTGCTGGGTTACTAGATAGCTGTGTTCTCATGCCATGGTGCTACCCATCCTAGATTGCGTTCCAGTCTGTAAAGTCACTTGAGGTCCTGAAGAAAAGGTTCTGGAGCATCAAGTTCTATTGTGGTATGTTTAAGGCTGGTCTAGAAGCAAACAACCCACGTTCCCCACATTTGGCACCAAGGTCTTGACCCATTAATGTATTTTTCTCCCTTCCCAACCGGAGGCTTCAATCTCAAATACTTGGTTCTCTGCACCTGGGTTTGGTTGAGCTTCATCTGTTTGTAGACTGTGTGTTGATTTAAAGGTCCTGAGATTGCTGTTCACACAGATCTTGCTTCCAGGGTTCGACTGCTGCCTTAGGGATGATTTATAACAGTGCCAGGACAGAGCACAGTAATGCAGAGAATGACTGGGTCAAATGATTTTGCTGTCTTGCAGCCAACACCCCTGCCACAAGAGAAGAAAACACCTCCACCTCTCAAGCCCAAGCCAGGCTCAGCTTCCAGCTGTATCAAGGAGAAGCAGTTGCCTCTCCTGTCTATCTTCAGCCAGGAGAGTACCCCACCTCCTGTTCCCCCTCCTCCCCCACCATTGCCTTCACCTCTCCTGCCTGGGAACCAAGGCTGCCAGGAATCCACAGGGAAGGGTGAGTACTGAATTCACCCAAGTGGGATTTAGTAGCAGGGAGGGGACAGGGTTGGGATCAGTCCAGTGACCCAGGAGAGCCACAGCACACATTCTGTCATCGGCCAGCTGGCCAAAGACTGAGTGAGCTGTGTGAAATCAGAGACTGTCATAGTTCCAGTCTGGCCCAGTAATCAGTGTAGCACTTCCCAGCTCTAACTCTTCCCTTTCTTCCCAACTAATGCAGCTAAAAACAGAAAGGACCTTTGAGCTACAGCTTTATCAAAGTCTAGTCCACAATACATTTTATTGCTTATCTGAAGCATAATTACTTTATCAAAGCTGCAATTCAATGGATGGACTTTAGATCAGGGAGGAATGGGAAGCTGGGTATTTTACCTTCTAGAGCCTCTGGAGGGTCCTTAGAGACAGGCTGAGGAATAAGGGAATGTTTCTCAAAGGGGGAATGAGAGCCTAGGAGATCTTGGACATTGGCCACATAAAGAGTGTCTGGATGCTGTCCACCTGAAAAATGGCATAGCTAATGCTTCTCAGCAGTAGTTTGGAAGTGTTATTCAGTCTTAAGTTTTACCTCTGGATTTCAGTGGGAGCCTGGAGCCATAATTCATTGTATACTTTGCTGCTATTTTGGATATTTGCACCAATATATTTCAAGCTGTTTAAAATTCTAATCAGCATCACATTTTATAACATGCAAGGAACAGTCAGTCAAACACATTACTGAAAGACTCCATCCTGCAGCAGTTTCCCTGGCATAAAAGATTTTCCCTGTTCCACTCTCCCTGTCTTTTCAAAAATGTTTCTTTAAGGAAGTCCTGCAAAAGTAAATTGAAGTAACTGGATTAGCCTGAAAAATCCTTACGTGCTTTTGAGTAGGGATATAGAAACAGCTGAGTGGTGCAATCTACTACATTTCTTGTCTATGAACTGGGACATTTTGAAAGTTGGCAGTGCTTAAATTAAAACATTCCTACCCCATAAAACAATGCCTTTCAATGGTTGTGTTCAATTTGAGTCTGTCTTTAGTAGATCTCCTGCAGATAGAAAATCCAGTACAAGTACTGGGTGCCTTGTACCAGAACCTTGCAGTCTGCAAGCTCGGGGGAGAACTTCTATGTCCCTTTGAAACCTTTAGCAGCCTTTTTATACTGACATAAAGTGAAACTTGTGTCTTCAACCTTAAGCACAGGGTTAGTATTTTGCCGGGACACTGTGTGCTCCCTATCTCTGGAGTGTTTTTATTATGAACACTGAACTTTGTAGCTAATACAGCAAGTATAAATGCCATCAAAAACACTGGTACTCACATGATGACTGTTTTGTGCACGCATTCTTATTAGCTGATCACTGACCTTCAAGAGGGTTCCTGACAGTAATCTTCAATCAGGCATATGGCACTGTCCCCTTTTTCTTGGTAGGTCTCTGACAGGTGGGAAGGTGACCCTGTAGTTAGCAAAGCCCATCTTCACTGTTCTTTCTCCTCACACAGACTCTGCTGTAACAGTAAAAGACGATGGTATCAAGACCCAGCTGTACAAGCTCACTACCAGTGTCAGCTTTTCCTATGCCAACCCTGCCTGGAAAATCTTTCTGCGCAAAGAGGTACAGTTCACTAGCTGGGGGCTGGTTATGGGGGAAGGGAACTGGTCCCACATTTGGTAAAAAACATTTTTTGTGATAGGGACCCAGTATGATATAAAAACACAAAGATAGTTCTGGGAGGAGGTCACATGACACAGGAAGCAGAGGCAGGGGATAATCTCATGGGAGATCTGGGTCCTACTCTGCCTTACTGGCTCTTGCGTCTTAGTCTCCCTACTGAGAAATCAACAAATAAAGTAAATTTGTTGTTATCTGGTGCTTTCCTGTTAAAGGAGTATAAATGTGAATCAAGTATTGAAGAGTGCATTGAACTGACCAGGGTTCATCCCATGGTCTCACCCCTTTACTTTTGGTCCTTCACTCCTGGTCCTTCTGTTCACATTCACAGTGTCTCTTCTGTGCCTGCCCCTGGAGATGAACTCACTCCTCTCTGACAGTAGGGCATATGGAATACAAAACAACCCTGGGGAGCTATTTCTGCAACATCTGTAAATGTCTGTAACATCACTGTTGTTTTTATCCTCCTCTTGCAGGTGTTTTACCCCAAAGAAAATTTTAGTCACCCTTACTGTCTGAACTTGCTGTGTGAACAGGTATGTACTGGTGTATGACTCAAGGCCTGTTGTCTCTCTGGAGACAAAACACTCCATAGTTACATTGCATAAGTTGCCTTCACTTCTGCATCCCTAGTGGTGTTAGTCTCTTCTCCAGGTCTATCCAGTCAAGCCCCTGTTCACTCTCTTCTGAAACTCAGCCCATTTAACAGCCTCAGATGCTCCAACACAATCAGATGTGGTCCTTTCAATGGAAACCTCTGTTTCCTTCCTCTGTAGATCATGCGCGACACTTTCTCTGATTCCTGCTTTCGGATCTCCAGGGAGGAGAAGCGCAAGATGAAAGACCTGCTGAGTAATTAACAGCCCCACCATTCCTTCCTTCCTGTGCCAATCCCAGCTTTTGGTTTGAAATGAGAAACTGGCCTTCAAGCCCTTTCAGGCAGGACTTAGGGCAGAGGAGAAATGTTTGTCACTGCAACAAGACAGCACATTTGTGTGTGCTGCGTAGTGCAGTGTAGGAATGTTCGTTAATTCCAAATGGCCAGAAAATGGCTCTGAAATTTCTTTGAGACGGAAAAACTTAGTTCTGATATGTTTATTGTGGGGAGAGGAAACTGAGGCTCAAGGATGTCATTTTGAGTTGTCTCAAAATCCAGCTGTCTTCTTTGGCAGCAGCTTTATGGGGAGAGGGAGACAAACTAGTAGTAGACTGGTGTATGCAAGTAATGTGGTATCCTTTTGCCTCTGCATGTCATTTGCTGCGCTGTAATCACTGAGGGGGACTGGTGGGAATGAGTCTTTGAGCAGAGGAAGACTTGGCCATCTTCGTCTTACTGAGAAAGTATCTGCTTTGTAACTGCTAGTGGAGTTCCGGGTTGGCAACGACGTCCAGTCCATTCAGGAGGATGGGATAAAGAAGAGGATTGTACTGGCTGCTCGGGATAACTGGGCCAACTATTTCTCCCGCCTTTTCCCAGTTCATGTGAGTCTTAATCTTTTCACCAGACCTTGGAGTTGCTTCAGCTGTCTCCCTGCCTGGCCACACATCACTCATTCTACTGCAGCTTCTGTACCTTGCTGGGTTTGACACCTCTGGCAGCCCAGGGCTGCCTCCATGGTACATGTGGTAGCATCTTCTTCCCTTGCTGCACCCTGTCCAAGAGGGATGGAGCCTCTGATGCTCTCTGCTGCACTTCCTTTACAGGGTGAAAATGGAAGTGATGTCCAAATCCTGGGTGTTTCTCACCGGGGTGTGCGGCTGCTGAAGGTGGTGAAAGCAGCTGGCTATCATCCTGAGCACCTGAAGATTCTTCGCAGCTACAGGTGAGCAAAAGGGCACTGGATGCTGCAGGATAATTTGTCACATGCAGGATGCTTTCAGAGTGTTAGGAGGCAAACGGAATGGGCGAGCTGAAATGTCCCTGCTTGTGCTGTGCTCTCTAGGATTGTTCTAATCCAGTTGTGACTCCCTGACCCTCCTTCTAATGAATCTGGCCTTTTCTTTTCTTTCTGACTTTGGGCTTTGCTTACAATAAGTGAGTGCTAGGTGTGAGTCAGCTCCATGCATGTCATCATAAGGGAGGTCCTTAGAGTGGTACACTGAAAGCCATGAGCTGTTACTCTTGTAATACAGTGCTGGTGAAAGGCCATCCTCTGGAGCATGCTGAGGCCTGTCTCCATTCTGTCCTTGGAATGAGCTCCCATCCCCATGATCTGCATCCCTACCTCTGGCAGAAGGAGCTTGAGCATGCTGGCTGTGTTCTCAGTTTTGCAGATGTGTTGTCAGTGGAAATGAAGGGCAGAAATGCCCTGGAGTTCTCTCTGAAGACAGAGCAGCTCTTCCTGCACTCTCCAAAGGCTCCATGCATCAAGGCCATGGTGGAACTCTTCATCCAGGAGCTGAGACAGGTGAGGGAGTGGCTGCAGAGCTGTCGGGAATTAAGATAGTTTCCCACACGGACCTGAGAGGGTCCATGGGTTGACGTGGCCTGAGTCCTTCACAACCTGGGGACGAGATTTGACCACCCCATCACTTTTTCCCTAGGATACAAACTACGTCGTTGCTCTGCGCAGCTACATCACAGATGACAAGAGCCTTCTTACCTTCAAGAAGGGTGACCTCATAGAGTTACTTCCCATGCAAGGCATGGAGCCAGGTGAGGGAGTTTGTCAAGATTGGAAGGAAAGGTGAGGACTGAGTTCAAGAGCCTGCTGGACCCACGGTGCCCAGAAGCTCTACGTGCTGCTGTTGAGTAAACCAGAGGAACCAGAGGAAAGCAGACTGTTAAGGGCTGGTGTAGTCAGCCTTCAGCGCTGCCATTCTCTGACCACAACTCACACTGTCCCAGCTGTCATAGTTGTAGGGGATTTTATCTGAGGATGCAGGAAAGCTTGGTCAGTCTGATGCTCTCTTTTGCCACTAGAATGCTTAACTGCCTATTTCTCTGGGTAACTGCCATAGCTCCTGACTCTTGTCCCCTGTTTCTGCAGGCTGGCAGTTTGGCTCCACTGGTGGCCGCTGTGGTATTTTCCCCACCAGTCTGGTGCAATTGGCTGCAGCTCCTGATTACCTCAGCACCAGCATGGACAGACACGGAGGGCTGCGGAAGAGCACGAAGGCTTCCCCAGAGAGCAGGAACACCAGCAGGGAGGTGCGTTGTCCCTGGGGAACTTCTAGGGGATATGGATGGGTTCTGTGGAACCTGCCAGGGTGGGTCCGTGGCCCTGGTAGTGTCTGACCTCCAAGTCTAGAAGGAAGAAGATGATTGCTTAATCCTTGCAGATGAAGACACTCAAATACTATCATAGTGGGAGGAGGAGGCACCACACACACATTAGGCCTTCTCATGTCTGCCAGGTGAGGAGAATACACACTGCAGTTTCTCAGCTGACTTTTTAGGGTGACTTTGGTGTCTGTCCTTGCAGAGTTCTGTTCCAAGCCTCACATCAGAACCCAACAGCACCATGTTAGTCCCTGCTGGTGATCGTTACACCATGATCGACTTCGCCACAGCCTACTTCCGCGAGGCTCAGTCCATGTGAGTAGGCTGTGGTCCTTCCTGAACAGGCATACACAGGACCTGCATAGCCTGATGCACATCAAGCCATTTGTGGGGATATTTATTGGATTGCATGTTTTCTCTCCTCTGTCTAGGCAGGGACTGAAGGGGATGTCTGCTGAAAAGAAGAACATAGCTGACCTGGTCCAGCACACCAAGGTGAGCCCAGTCTCTTCCCATGGCTACATCCAAAATCCCAGCTCCAGCCTTGCCTCTAGCTTTGTGCCCCCACATGGCAAAAGTGCAGAGGGCAGATCCTTGGCTGCAGTCTCTGAAGTGTAGGTGTCCCCTTCAGTGCTGCCTGCAAGATACTTGGAGCTTGTGTTTTTCATGAAGCCTGAAGCACAGCTCTGTGCAACCTGCCTCCCCAGCTTACCCTTGTATTCCGGCCCTGCAGGTCCCAATCCAGGAGTCTTTACTCCGGTACTCTGACAGTGAGCTGAATGAGCTTGCTACAAAGAACTTCAAGAGTAAGTACCTCCCTAGGACACGACACTGCAGAGGCTGATGTGGGGATGAGTGGGACAGCCTTGGTGGCCACATGTAGACATCATGGGGCCCAGAGTGGGGAGTGAAAACTGTGCGAGGACGGCCCCTCCTAAGGCATTTCAGCAATTAACAACTACCCGTGTCCATGCTGAAAGAATCCAGCAAAATGTTCTTTGCCTCAAGTGCAATGCAGCCAAGAACACACGCTGCCTGGGCTGATGCCCCACCAACTACACACGTCCAATGCAAGCCTCGTAATAGCCCATGGAGCAGAAAAGCTTTTAGGACATTGTCTAGTCTACTGCCTGCCCCATGGCAGGATCACCTCTGCTTACACCTAAATGCTAGCCTTCGCTTTGCAGCTCTGATGCGGTTCATGGGGGATCAATCAAAACTCAAGAACCAGAATGAGGTTGACTGCATCTATGAAATCCTTAAGGTTTGTGACCTTCCCCTGGGCAAGGCGCTGAAGCACCAATGGGAATGAAGGGCCAAGACCTTGCTGGGAAGGGAAAGAGCAGGGAGAGCCATAATGCAACCTCTTAGATGAGAAAGGGGGCTGAAACAAAAAGGCTGATTGAAAAACATGGGTGTGAGGGGTTGCATGTAAATGGTTTCCCTGGATATCCCTGTCTGGATGAGAGAACAACCTGCCTCTTCTTCTTTGGGCCTAGATAGCACTTGAGACCTGAGGCTGCAAAGCCCAGGCTTTAAGCCAAATTGGCAGAGCTCTGGAGCTGGAAGAGGAAGGGCACAGAGATGACCTGGGGCTTCTCTGATGCTCTTGTCCCCTCTCTGACTCTGTCTTTTCCTCTGTGAATGCAGCTGTGCAAGGAGAAGGAGAATTTGCATGATGAGGTCTACTGCCAGGTCATCAAACAGGTCACCCACAACCCTAAACAGTGAGTACCAGCACTGTCGGCTCCTGTGAGCGCACAGCTGGAGGGGAACCATCTGCCCCACTGCACAGACACCAGGGCCAGGGGAGAGCCTGCCCCTAATGATGTGTTGTGTCCAGCTGCTCAGATTCTGGGGCTTTTGCTGAGCACTCAGGAAATTTAGCCAGTCACTAGATTTTGCATTTGCACTTCAATGGATGTTTGTCCTTGTATCTCTGGCTGTTGATATATCTGGGCACTGGTAAACATTCCCGGTAGCTCCCAACAGTGTGCTGCTCAGAGCCCTGATTTCCTCATCACAGTCCTGGGGAACTGATACAACAGTTATGGACCAGCTTGACCCCACACTGCCCTGAGATATGGCAACAGGGGCATCAGAGTGACTTTGATGCTTCCCTTTCTTTGTTTGCTGTTAGAATAACTAAACTAATCCCTTCCTCAGCATAAGAAACCTCTGACCAAGAGCCGCCACCTCATTTTCTGCCACCAGCCACAGGTGTTCAGAAGGACAGAGGCTTGCTTTGAGCTGCTTGGAGCAGGAATTGTCTTGTTCCGAGGTGCTCACAGTTCTTTCTGTTCCACAGGGAGAGCGTGCTGCGTGGCTGGTTGCTCCTAAACCTGCTAACTGGGTACTTTCTCCCTTCTAATATCCTGATGCCCTATGCCACCAAGTTTCTGCAGCTAGCCAGCAGTGATCCATCTAGCACCCACCATGGTATGACTGTTTCTGTGTCCTGTAAAATAAACATCTATCCCCTTTTTACTAAGGTCAAGGAAAGAAGACAGGATCCAGGTGGGGACATGGTCTGATGGGAAAATCTCATCCCATTAGGCAGGAGAAATGAGTGGGGTAGAGATGGAGCTGAGCCTGCAGGCAAGAGACTGCTCTGTATCTCTAGTCTTTCTGTTTGCAGAGCTCATTTCCCATTGTATCTTCACCCAGGCAAGATGGAATTGTGTCTCTGAGGCTTAGCTTAGCCCTGTGGCTTAGGCCTAGCTAGACACTGGGGGAAAGGCAGGCTGTGATCTTCCTGAGTCATCATCTGTGAGGTATTTGGGTTGGAATCCTGCCAGATAAGTTGGTTCTAGTTTTTCCATCCTGTCATTCCTCTGTACTCCCACTGGCTTGGATGCTCTCTGGGGCTTGTCCCTCGTGATTTGGATGTGTCCTGGCAGAGTGAGAGATGAGGTCGTGTCTCTGCTCTCCTAACAGTGGCCCTTGGTTAAATTCAACACAACCAGAATGACCCAACACCATAGGAGACAATGCTTAGTTCTCTGTTTGGCTCAGCACATGAAGCTTCTTCCTTTTCCTGCAGATATAGCCAAGATCTGTCAGAGCAACCTGCGGAAAAATTTCATGTATGGGGGCCGTCGCCACCTTCCTTTCCCTGTGGAAACAGAGGCATTGCTGGTATTGAGGGGATGCTGGGAAGAGAAAGAGGGCAGAGACTTGTCAGGAGCTGCCACGTGCAGTGTTACAGGGGTGGTTAGTGTTCCAAGAGAGGAGGTGAAGCATGTGTCTGTAAGGGGACTGGGAAGTGCAATGTCATGGAGTAGGCAGGGATGTGGGGCGGGAAGGGGCAGGTACTACGGGAAAGCAGTGGAAGGCAGAGATGAGGCAGAAGAGGGAGAAATCACTGTGGGGCTGATGGGATCCTACATGCCTTACTGCCTAAAGACTGTCCTTTGCAGAAGGGGCACGGTGCCCGTCGGATGGTGATACTGATGCCAGGAGGTGTGGAATACCTCACCAGGATCAAGACATTCACTGTGAGTTTTCTGCTTTGAATTTCTTCATTGATCTACACTCTGAGCCACACCAGGAAATTCCCTTATCTGTTGAAACCTTGGGCTTGGCCTGTGCTTCCCACAGTGCTGTGAGAGTTTCCCACTCACTTCCTAGGAATCCCTGTAGCAGTGTATCTCTGCAGGCCCTGCACAACGCTGGGATGCCTCACCCAGCTTGCTTCTTTGCACAATGGCCAGAGCCATACTGCTGCCCTCCAACACACCCAGTATGTCTAACTGCTCTGGGGCTGCTTTGGGCTTGCCTGGCCATGGTATTTACTTGCTTCTTTCCTTGCTTCAGGTGGCCAAGGAGCTCTTGCAGGAGATCTGTGAACAGATGGGGGCAGGCGAACAGGAAGAGATACAGGAATTCGTTCTTCTTGCCATCAGGAGTGACAGCAATAATCCTGGCAAGTAGAGACTAGCATCTAGCTTCTTTCTTAAAGCAGTTTCCCCAACACGGAGTACCATGGCAACTGTTTCAGATAGTTCCCACATGCTTGCTGGCTCTGGGGAGGTTCCTCTTCAGCAGCTTCCCTCTGTACCAGGCTTAAGGACTGTGCCTGCTCAGGGGCTGTGTTGCTTGTTCCTGAAAGAGGTGTGTGTGGGTCCGTGCCCCCTTGGAATGGCTGATATTTGGAGACATAAGGGCAGGGTGGGATAGAGGTGTGCAGGAAGGCTCCTGCCCCAGGCCTTGGAGCTCAGCCCACAGTTTCAGCACCAGGAGTGATGACCCTCTCTCTGCATAAACATGTAGACAAAACGGTGAGGCCGATAAGATCGGAGGAGTATCTTCATGATTACCTGTTGGAGGACAAGTTGGTCACTGTGACTCTACGCAGGCTCACCTGGAGGACACCTCTGCACTTTGAGAACCAAATTTATACTGATGTCCATTATGGACAGGTAAGAAACAAGGCCAGGAACCTCCCTAGCAGGGGCAGAGTTACTGCACAGGCCAATGGGAATGTCCCAAGGGGGCTGAAGAAGCAAGAGGGCTTTGGCTGATCAGCTTAGTATGCTGCTTCTGGGAATGCCGAGTAACTGAATCCATGGATGCAAGGAAGGCAGCATGCCTGTAACCCTAGCATATAAACTGTACGGTTCCAGACATGGTTTGTGCAGTTCTGCATGCTCTTCCTGAGCACAGAAAGCCTTTCCTTTCAAGTTATCAGCCTGGGCTGGATTTGTCATCGGCAAGGCAGGATGTGGGTCTCTGCAGGCTGGTACTGCCCAGGCCTGCCTGTACCTTCTGGCAGGTTTAACAAAGGCCTCTTTGCTGTGCTGTCTCTCAGATGCTGTGGGATTACCTGAATGGGAAGATACTGTTGAGCCGTAGTAAAGAGATGGAGATGCAGGTGGGCGTTTTGGCAACACTCCAGCACTGGGCCAAAACAGAACGGAACAAGTCTGCTCTCTCCAGGTATGTCTGTCTCAGGGTGGGTCTCTAATGGCTGTTGGCACCGCAGGGTTTAGGGGTAGGTGCCTGAAAGCACACTCTGGATAATTAAGGAATGGACACTTCTGGAGAATACAAGCTACTAAGCTACTAATTAATATCACTTGGTGACTGACTCCTGCCCATAATCAAGGAAGTTCACCTCCTGTTCACACTCTTAATGCTGACTGTCTCTGATCCACATTTCCTTTTGTGACTCCTCCCGGGCTGAGGGTCATGAGGGTGCCATGGGCATTTCTTTTGACTGCCATGTGTTTGTAATACCAAGGAGGAAGTGAATGAGCTTAGAGTTGGGATGAATGCTCCTTTGTTCTTTCTCACAAGTGCCAGAGTTTTCAACCCTGTTCACCTGAAATCTGTAGTGATGTCTAATTGGAATGAAAACATCTTTGGGTACTGGAAAGCTTCTGTCCTGCAGAATTTTCACACTCCTTCTTTCCTGTATCCTTCTGCACTTCGACTCAGAGTCGAAGTAATGTCTCCATCAGATCCTCTTACAGCACCAGCAGCAGCAGGTAATGGCATAACCCTGCTGAGTATGGGAAACTCTGCTCTGTGTAGTGCTTTGAACGCACAGGAACAAGACAGGGTTAGAGTAAGGGCGTTCTGATGAGGCTGCCTGTGAAAGAAACACCCTGTGGCTTTACTTCCATGCTACAGTCCTTATGTGAAGAACTCCTGTTGTCTCCAGAAAGGAGGGATATCTTTCAGTGCACTAGTCAGTGGTGCACAGCTGCATTCTCTGTGGAAAAGGGTGGTCTCACTGTCCACTATCTCTGTTTACTTCCACGTTATCCAATTCAGATACAACCTATTGTGCTCTTCCCCTCTCCCTCCACTCTTACTCCCAGCCACACAACTGAAAATTGTTTCCACAGCCCCCCCTTGCTCTTAATCCCCTTGGTTGATTTTTTCGATTTTAGCCGGGCAGGATATGAATTAGTATCTGCTTGTTGGCACAGGGAAGAGCTGAGTGAGTACACACCAAAGACCCTGCAGTCCTCCATCAGACTCCAGGCTCTGGAGAACCATGTCGGCATGTTGCTGAGAACCAGGCAGCCCCTCCAGCCAGTGGATGCAAAAATCCAGTTCATAGGTGAGGAGACATCCAGATCTGCTTGAGTTGTCCATCCCGAGCATGATGGAAGCTGCTCTGAATGCACTTTTGGAACAGTTCATGAGGTTGGCGAGGATCCTTGGGGCCTGGAATGGGCCATGACACAGAACTCCCTGACAGCCTCACCCTGCAGACTGGCACTTCTTCCCATGCATGGTGATCGTGGTAGAAGTTCCATCTCTTTTGTAGAAGTCTGCAGTAGATTTTCAGAGCTCTGTACAAGTTGTGTTTTAACTGATATTCTGGCTGCATGTCTGTTTTGTGGTCAGAAGAGAACAGGACATCCATTCAGGCTTCTGAGAATTGAGTACCAGCAGGCTGGGGGCTTGGGAGTTGTTGTCAATCTTACGTTTTAATGCAGAAAAGCTTGGGAACACTTGCAGTTTTTCATCACCTTCAGGCTGGAAACCGCTGCCTGAAAGCCACCATTTTGCTTTCTTACAGAGCACATGATGAAATTACCTTTCTTTGGCTACAACATCTACTTTGTAGAGAGAGTCAGCGATGACACAATCCCTGTGCCCTGTTTCTTTGGTGTGAATAAAGAGGAGATCATTGTGGTGGATGACACCACCCAGGTATGGCAGACAATTCCCCTCTAGCATCCAGAGCCCTGATGGCTGTCAGATGTTAACTTTGACTTTTAGAAGAACTTGTGCAGGAAGAGACTGTATTTACCTGCATCACAGCCACTCTTAACAGCAGTCCTCCTAGCCCAAAGGAAGTGACAAGAGTGGTAGAACAGCTAGTACTACCACCTGCTCTTTTGTGAGTCCAGTGATCATGCTAATAAGCATGGTCCACAGTAAAACTAAGTGCAGGTCACATTCCTGTTTGTCCCAATCTTGCAGGAGTTCTAGGGACATGCTGCCAGCAGGAGCCTGCCCTGTACTCAGTACACACTGCCCTGTGCCCCAGCCCTTGTCTCAGCTTTCAACAGGCTCCTGAGGTGAATCCTCCTTGGTGAGAATCAGATGGTTTTATTTGTGAGGATTGCACCAGAGAATGTTTTGTGGCTTTTCTCCTTACACAGGTGGTCTCCTGTGTCATTCCATTGAAAGAGCTGCAGAATATGCGAACCCTGCGGCCCGTCTCCGATGGTGGCCTTCCCGGCATAGAACTGAACTATGGCTCGGCTGCCAGCCCCAAGACTATGTGGTTTGAACTGTCACAGGTGAGATCAGCCTGGAACTACAGCCTCCTCCTGGCAATTTGGAAATTACCCTCTACTGCCCAGCTGAGCTTCTGCTAAAGGACAGCACTACTGCTCTCTTCTGTCCCAGAAGTGGATTGGGGGCACTGCATTTTCCAGTCCTCAAAGTGCAGCTTTGTCTCAGCACGTACCTCATATTTAATTATGGAAAGTGATTTATGGGAATATTTAATTATGAGAATCAGCCATTTCTGGGGCAGAGAGTGACACACTGATTTGTGTTTTGACAGGCTAAAGAAATGTATCACATGATTGTTGTCATCCTGGATAAAACAGAGTTGCACCACTAGAGCCTAAGAGAAGACTGACCAAGCAGAACAGCACTGTTTTCCTTTCTTTGAGCTTGTTCAGTGCTCCCTGCCCTGTCTTCTGGAGAGGACTCTTCCAAAAGACATCCATGGTCTCTGAAAGCTGCTTTCTAAGACTGCCACCACAGTGTTTGTTGATGGTTTGGACCATCCCCTCCTGACCTGCCCTTCAGTCCTCAAGCACTCTTCTGTGAAGCAATGCATGCAGTGGCTAAATAAACCCCAAAGACACCCTTTCTACACCACTGCTTTTTCATAGCCTGTTCCAACACACAGCAGCTGAGCCTTCAAGCTATGCAGTGTGGGACTCTTCTTTTCCTTTTTTAATTAATTAACATGAGCAAAGACTGATGCTTGCTAGAGATTTGTGTATCACAATGCGCAGCTGAGGCTATGAAATAACTGCACTGGCTGCTGGTGTTTTACACAGGCCAGTTTTTTCTCTGTATTGATATGCAAGAGGTCCAGTAGCAAGATTTGTGAAGCAGAAGCCTGTAGAAAGCATCTTAATTGCAAATCAGATCAGTGTTAATACACAGTTAACACATATGCTGGGGCACAGATTGAGCTGCAATGGTAAGAAAGTTTATTGTTAATTAATTTCTTACGGACATAATTATATGCATATGTTTCCCTCTACTATAAAGAAGCCAGTCATGTCCATGCAGCTGTCCTACTTCAATGGTGGCTCCATGCCCATGGCGAAAGCGTATTCAAATGGAACTTGTATTACAGTAGAGGAGAGCGTCCTGGGTTGTACAAAAATGCTTAATTTATTTTTATTGCTACAGCTCTCCTATTGAACTGAAAAGTATCTGCACTTCAGATTACAATAAAATAATCACATAGAGATGTTTTGAAGCTATGACGTGACAGATAATGGTTTACATTGAACATGGGAAGATTGATCTATAAGTAACTGACAAAGCTTGAGGAAAAGGTTATCACTGGTGGCTGGGAAGGGGATAGATCTGAGGGTGCTCAAGGCAAGCCATGATGCACAGCTAGCTTCGTGCTACTGAGCTGATGCCAGCAGTAACTACAGCATCTTCCCTGGCAGGACCTTCCCTTCATGTGCTTCTCACTGAGGTCTTAACTGAAGCATGTTCCACCCTCCCCCTTCAGCAGTGATACTGCAAGGCTAGGTAAAGCACCACAGCACCAGGAAAGAAAGGAATAAAAAGAGCTGAAGATTCCCCTTCTCTTTCTCTAGATTTTGCTGCCTTACTTAAAAGCAGAACTCAGCTGGTTAGAAATGCCCCACATTGTGATAAAGCACTTTGTCACACAACCCAGTGCAGTCGGCAGTGCTTTTGGGAGCTCCCTGATTTACAAGACAAACAAAGCATTTCTGGGACGTTCACCCAGGCAGCAGCTGAACTCTATAAACACTGAACTGTGGAGAGATAGTAACCCCCCTTAAGTGGCTGATGAAACAGGATTTTTAGTGGGAAGGTAAAATAAAAACCAGCAGGCAACAGCTGAAAAATACTTCCATTGCGTAAAAGGCTTCTTGTAAAGCCCTTTGTGCTCTAGTGAGCAGAGCAAGCTGAAGATGAAAGTTATTTTTGAGTTAAACATTTCCAGGTTCTCCCGATTCCAGCTGGAGAAGTCCGGCAGCTATAAAGGGATGGAGGTGGCTGCTGGCACATGCTTCCCATCCATCTCCTCCTCACTTGCATTTAGTAACTGTTCAGATAAGAAATGAGCTTTCATGTCTATGATCACAGTGATGGAGTCTTAATGTATCTTAAACAAGTCTGTATGATTGAGTGGTAAGAAAAAGCTTCCAGGAAGATTCCACAGCAGCTATAACATTGTTTTATTGTCAGTTCCGCACATATTATTCAGTACATTTAAAAAAACCAAACATCTGTTGAGTACAGCTATCCAAAATCCTGTTTGGTGGCCTCTCAGGCTGCAGATTCCTCTAACAGCACTAGTGCCTAGGGCCGCCAGCCTCTGTAGGCATGGAACAAAGGCAGAACCCAACAAAAACCCAACAGAAAGGACTTGAACCAGGGAATTGGGTTCTTTCAAGCTCACTGATACCCCAAGATCCAGGTCCTTATATAAATATAGCAGCAGAGGCACCACAGTGTCAATTGGAGGGCCACAGCAGTACCTTAACCAGCTGTAACAGCAGCATCGCCCTCTGTATTGCAGACTGTGGGTGAGGCACAGGGAGAAAATATGGCTTTAGGGGTTACAAGCAAATGCTGGATAAGTGTTGGCACCCTTGGTGCCACTATTGGAGAGGATAATACCAAAAGAGCATCACTGCTTACGTTAAAGGGCAGGCAGAACTAAACAAAGGTAAAAAAACCCGTCAGATTAAAAGAAAAAGGAATCCAAGTTTCTCTGCGTTCAGAAAGTAGGCATTGCCTGCATGGTAAAAACAAAACACTCCCCTCCCGCCCTTCAAGGGGAAACATTCCATCCAGGAACTCAACCATCAAATCGTCATTGGCAGCCCTGAGCAAAGCATGTGAACTTGTAGCATAAGGCTTCTACTGGTAACGCCGAAATAAGAACTAAGAGATGGGGGAGCCAGGGGAGGAGCCCTCAAGTAAGCAAGTTGCCATCCCAAAGCAGAGCCCCAACTGGAAAGTCCGAGCCCTTCCCAGACTGCTGCAGGGAGTAGAGGTTGGAGACACTGTGGAACATGTGAGGCAGCAGCCCATAACCCACACAGCAGATGCAGACTTCATACCCCTTGCCAAGAGGTACTAGAGGACTTCAGCGCCCTAGTTATTGGAGAAACTCTCCATAAGTTCACAGAAATAGGTTTCCTGGAATTGCATGTCTCAAAGGACAGAAGTGACTAAAAATGCAATGGGAAAAGAAAGCTCATTTCTACAGTTTCATGAAACTCTCCATGGCTGAGTTCTTCAAGATCCCCTGGTCGCAGTGCTGGAGGAAGGAAGGCAGCCAACATGATGCAAGGATCAGCTCTCTGAGCTCTGCAGCTCCTGCCAGTCCGTCTCACTCTCACACCTGACCCTTGTTTTGAAAAACTCCTTGATGAGTCTCTGTGCTTCCTCCTTCACTGCAAGAGAGGAAGCATCACCTTTGAGATGACACTTAAGACATCGGCCCCCTCTAAAGACATCAATCCATTCAGCATCAAAAGAACCCGAGACTCCTGGTGCTCTCCCCAGCTGCCAACTCACCAGTCTTGCGGGCAGGGTTCTGCTCTTCAGTCAGTAAGTGAGACAGGTGTCGAGCAAAGCCCTTAAACAGATCCTGCAAAATTGGGGAAGAGCAGAAAGCAGACATCAGTTACCTCACCAGACTCTTTCCCTGTTTGTCTCACCCTTAGCACGGGCTGGCTGAGGCACAACCCATTCATAGATTTAGACTACGGGAGTGTTGCAAACCTCCCAACACACCTGACCCTGCAGTGCTGGAGATGCGCATGCACACACATGTTGCCTTGCAGAACACAAGTAAACTGCACCAGAACTGAACCTGATCTGTTTCCACTCCACAGGGGGAAGTTCTTAAAAATGTGCCAGAGTTTAGTGTGAAAACATGAGCAATCACAAACAAGTGTGGAATCAACATGATACCACTCTAAATCACACTCAAACTCTTTCCTGGCAGGGGTGAGTTGCTAAAACAGCTCATACCAAGATGTGACTTGGAAATGAAATGTGGTATCCAGATCATCTTCCCCTTCTTAGAGCCCCAGGTCACTAGGGACATGCAGTCTCCTTCTGCTAAAGAGGGTCTTGAGCTGTGCCCTACCTTGGAAGCAAATTTGCCACCCTTGTAGAATGGCGTCAAATATTTGACAACGATGTCTGCTGTTTCTTTGAGGGACATGCCTTTGGTCACTGGCTGTACAGTCTTGCTGCTTCCTTCTTTATCACACTCTGATAAGTTTGGATCAAAAGTCACCTTCTTCTTTGTTGGACCAACACTTTTACTTTCTGGCTGGGACAGAATAGAAGATTTCACCACTGTCCGTAGCCGCTTTGTTGCAGGACTTTCCATATCCTAGAGATGGGACAGAAGAAAACCAAAACCACCAATTCGTGTGACAGCATTATACATCCAAGCAGCCAGGACCTTCTGAGAACATGAATCTTAGCAGCACCCTGCAGGCTCTCCCTATAGTGAATACCATGCAGGAATCTATGTAACCCATTTTGCTGTGCAGATGTAATACACTGTTTCCCATACATAGGGACTTTGAGAAAAACCCTTTAAGACATTTAGAATTACGTTGTGCTCTTACTAGGGCAAGTAATTGTTAGACCCCATCCTATACAGGAAAAGACTACCCAGGATGGCTGCCGAGGATACACCCCTCAGGAAGAATCAACCATTTCAGGAGTGTTACACTCCTGTTCAATTTGAAAGAGCAAGGAGACGACTGCAGTGTTCAGCAGAATCAGCTAGCCAGCAGCCTCAGATGGCAAATGCAGAACCAGAGACTGACTGGCGACGAAGGCTGCGAGCGTGGTTTGCTTCTGAGTGGTCCTGTGGGTCACTGGCCTGTGGCTGTTCCCTCGGCTTGAGAAAGCAGCTTGCTAATTATAGTTACAGATCTAGAGCGGGTGGAGAGACTCATTCCAGGCAAGCCACCAGCAAAGGTACAGTCACGTGCATTGCAGAGAAGAGGAAACAAAGCAGAGTGGAGGGGAAGCTTTCCACTGCAGGCTGAGTTGCTGGCACTGGCGCAGTGGGACACCAGCAGTGCAACACAATTATGGTTCTCCCCTCTCCTGCAACTGCAGCTGGGCCCTCCCCAGATAAATAACACTATCGGGAGAACTTCAGACTAGGAGCATCACTCCCAGCAAGAAACTTGGCACAAGGTGAGCAGAAGAAATAGAGGAAATCAGCATCCATTGAAGTCTTACCTCATCTGATCCTGGTCGCTTCCCACTCTCACCTTCCCCAACAACAGTTAGCTCCGTTTCTATGACATTGTCAGCAACACTAGTGGGGAGAATGGAAAAAAGGCCAATTTTAATCATTCCACAGGGAAGATATTACCATGTTCACTGTCAGTGGCTACAAGACTCTCCAGGGTAAAGCAAGAGTCTCCCTCACCAGATCTAATGCAGATTCCCAGTTTCCAGGACAAGGCTGGTGGGGCCCTGCAGCTCACTAACGGGACAACACAGGGAGCAGAGAGGTAGAGATTTTACCTGGATTTTACATCAATTTCTTCCTGAGGGAATTCATATTCAGCAGCCTGCTGGGTCTTAAAATCCTCCTCTGTCTCAGTCAGTGTTACTTCTGTTTCTCCCATTTCTTCATTCTCTGTCTGGGACTGTCCTGACACATCTTCTCCAGAGACACCTTTGTTTTCCTGAGGTATTGGTTTCTCTTGACACATGCTTTGAGAAGAAACCTGAGGTAGTGTGCTTGCGGAACAACCATCTTCCTTTGCTGAGCTGCAACTTTTGGCTTTAGACCCACCTTTCGGGAGGGATAAGAATTTGGAAATATCCTGTGATTCTTTTTTAGCTGCTTCTGCGAGCATTTGCTGCTTTTTGCTAGGTTTGGACTTCTTAGTAGGGCTATCCCAAAGGGCAGCTTTCGTGTCTGGACTGGGTTGCTGTTCCTTCTTTTTAGGAAGGAGTACTTCTACCCCAGCACTCTCACACACTTCTTTGGTTCCTGTATCTTTCTTCTGGAGAACAGGGTTTCTGGTGTCAAGTTCCAGAGTGCAGTTGCTGTTGTCTTGCCCATTTGGACAATCTACTTTTTTTCTGACAGGCTTTACGTCACTCTCCTCCTGGATCTTCAGCAGCTCTGAAGCTGTCTGAAACAAGCTGGACTTCTTTGGAAATCCTGCTCCCACACGCTTGGGTTTGAACTAGGGAGAAAAAG